GCGAGCTTTAGGATCTAAGGCGGGTATATTCGTGGGTCATTTCACCGCGGAGTTATCTCAATCTACAAACACTGTCGCCGTTGGACATTTTACAGGGTGGTGAATGGGCGCTCCCTTCAAGCGGCAGGCATCGCACGTCAGTTTTAATTTCTCTCTATAGCACTGTAACACTCCCAGAGCACCAAGCGTGCGATCGTCAGCAACAGATTTGACACCAGGGCATCTTGGATAACTTGACGGCTTTCCCCATGCGAAGTTGACGGTGCGGTATCATTATCACCATGGGAGTTATTGTGTGATGTAGTGTACAGTCAGTAGATTCGTACTCTTTCTGAGACTCTGGTAGGTTACCGCAAGTATGACAGGAAGTTGACATTAACTTATCATAATTTCATTGGGATTTGGGAAATAACAGGGTTCACTATGAGGAGCACCATAGATGCGCATTTCGGGGGACCTAGGAAGGGCTGCTGGACGCTGCTAACAATTCAGTGTAGTGCTGATACTTTGCATATGTCATATATACAACAGTGCATATCACTAGCACTTATGGTGCATCCGATAGACCTGGGATAGTGAAAACGCGAAGTTTTTTGTTTGAAAACAGATTACTCGTGTTCAACAAGTAGTCAAGATTTTTTAATTCAGGCAAACCGAACAAACAGGTCTGATGTTTCACGGCGCCATCCGGGTAGCCACTGGAGTTCGAAAGTTTCTCACGATGGGACTGCTTTTTCGTGACCAGGAGACGCCTTTTATCCTGAATCTCAGAAGAATTATTCAAACTTATTCCCACCTTCATATTATTAAACCGATTCAGAATGCTAGCTTTATTTGTGCCAATGTATAAAGTGAATTATGGAAAGCAGAAATTCTAGGAATGCCTACTTCAGGCAAGTCGTTGTTTCTCTGTTGCTGTGGCAGTCCACATCCATCGAATTTCATGATTTTACGTCAAAATGACCGTTACAGACAGATCTTTCACAAAAAAGTTTATTAGCCCCACGCGTCGGGTAGGAACAGTGAAAACCATATAACCTAAAGGAAATGATGAATTGGAAAGAAACAACTTATCATCGGGCTACTTTCATGGTGTCGTATCTCTCATCTGACCGCCCCTTGAAGTGGGATGACTTCAAATATTCCCTTCGGTCCTCTTCGTAGTTCTTGTTCTTGAGGTCTTCAAAACGGAGTAGAGGAGATCATGGCTTGAATTCAAGCCGTCCTATATTTTCTGTTAAACCGGATTATACTATATTCTAGTGAAGGAAACTACTCACAAGGTTGCTAAAAACTCTACGAGTAGTGGGTAGTTCCCTTCATGAAAATATACTGCGATATCTCGAATATCAGGCTAACTGAAACATGAGGCGGCCTGTGTTCGGCACATTCAGTTGTAGAATATCATAAACGGGAGATTCAGTTGAGTTTCTCGTGAAAACCAAATTGATCTACAAATGAGTGTAATTCTGGATTACACTACTTTTTGGAATCATGCCTGCTGAAGTACACTTTATGAGTTTAGGAGGGCTTTTGTCATTTTTGTGTAATATTCTGTTCCAAGTAGACGTGATTTTACATACAGGATGCTATCTTAACTTTGTTTCTGTTCCCCAGTGTCTCCTCGAGTCAAAAGTAATAAAGCTGCTATCTACGCGCAGCGGTGTGACGGGCTATGCCCTTGAGAGATTCGTTGACTCAGTACAACCCTTGATCTTTGGTAATTCAGTAGAATGACCGCCATGGCCCTCGTGAATGAACTAAGTATCTAGGAGAGGATGTCGTTTAAAAAAATAGAGAAAATGGAAGCCCGTTGTTTGACAGTAAGTTCCGTGATACCCAACATTCAAAAGCTATGGATCAAAAGGTCAAGGTCAACTATTACGTAATCAGTAGGGTACTCCGGTTTGTAGTCGTTGCCGTTCATTACTATCTCGGAAAGAATTCACTGGCGTCGACTCACAATTTGCTTGCTAAATCAGCGGGGCTTATTCGAATTTTGGATGAGAAATTTACTGTTGAGCCGAAATCTCGTAAAACCAATCAGTTACTATGACTTCATTGTATCTTCGAGAAATTACTCATTTGCAAATCAATTTGGTTTTCACGGGAGACTCTGCTGAATCTCTCGCTTATGCTATTCTGCAACTGAATGTGCTGCACACAGGCCGCCTCTCAAATATCATGCTAACTGAAACATGAAGCGGCCTGTGTGCAGCACATTCAGTTGTACAATACCATTAGCGAGAGATTCAGTTGAGTCTCTCTTGAAAACCAAATTGATTTGCAAATGAGCGTAGTTCTCGAAAACAGTCCAATTTGGGCTCAAGTAGAACATAAGGTTGACGGAAACTCGGGGACTGCGCCTATTTGATGAGCCTCATGAAGGTCAAAACCGGTCGTGGGCTGTCGAAGAGTTTTCAGTAACCTTGTGAGTAGTTTCGTTGTATCTTGTTTGGCGAGTGCCTAAGTATGAATTGTAAGCTTCTGGTTTCTTGTTTTTATACAACAACTGTTCGGTACATGGGTAATTTTCAAACACTGTCAACGTGCTTGTTCTTCTTTTACCTCCGTGCTGAAAGCTAGATATTCGACAAAGTGAATTGGCAAAAAGCCTGATTCGAATCGACTGGTCTAATACGATTGTGAATTTGGTTCAGGGATAGGCAAACACTTCTCAACTGAGATTTCGTTCTGCATATGAAGCCGGTACACGCTAAAAAGTTGAGAAGCATTGTTTCACTCTTATTGGGAATCATCATCAGGCACATCTTACGAAACGAAGGGAGTTTCGAACCCACGAACACTGAAACCATTTGACCCGGAGTGGCTGATCAATAATGTGATGAACTCGCACATGGGCAGAGTATAACATCACTCAGCCTTCAATCGCGCTGTCACGTGATCACTTATTGACTGACTCTTTCAATGATGAAAGTTTAACTCATGTTGTGAAGTTATTCCTCACAGAGCTGTCCACAACTGATCAACGGCTTCTCCACAGTCATTGGCCATGAATTAAAAAAAACGCAAGGGACTAAAACACTCATAATCATTTACCGTGAATATAGAAAACCAGGAACATTCCGATTCCCATCTGATTTGATGCAAGAATGAATCAAAGTAACAGGACATTTTTTGTTGGCTATTGTCTTTTTACAGGACGTGTTCCTTTACAACCACATTGTAGCTATCACCAAGCAAAAAGTCGTTCTGTATTGTCTAAGATGGGGACAAAAGGATTGGGGCACCGTTTGTTCGGACAAAAGACAATTGCATATTCTGAACAGTAATTATTTTATGGTGCTATTACAAAGTCTGCGCTCATCGTTCTTGCGTACACAAGTTTTGAACAGTTTCCGGCCGTGTTGTATAAAGAACTAAGGATAAGCTGGGTGACAAAGTGGACGAACAGAACGTCTTCCATTGTTTAATTTTTTCAAACTTACCACAATCTCCGGATAGCTAAGGATCTTACAGTACGATTGGTTAGATCGGACTGTAATCGGACTGTCTGGGGTCAATCGAGCTAACACGTGTTGGTGTGCGATTAGCAGAAGGAAGCGTAGTGATCATCTGGATTCCACTTAACCTTACTCGCCTTCCTCTCTCAACTAAATTATCGCAACATTCACATGGCCTTGAAGACCAAGGAAAATCTACTAGTGGTACCCACGGTAGATCATCAATTGAAGCACCTTGAAGTGGAAGCCGATTGGAAGTAATCGTAACGACTAAGACATGAGGCGGCCTGGGGCAGCACATCAAGTTGCCTGGAAACATCACAAACGAGAGATTTAGCTGGGTTCCAGGTGAGTCTCTCGCAAAACCAAATTAGTTTGCAACTGAGTGCATATTCGCTAATTTCGGGCAGTTTGGTTGACCGGAACTCGGGGACTGTGCCTACCTGATGAGACCCAAGGAGGGCGACGAATTTTCAGCAACCTAATAAGTAGTGCGTCACAAATAATTTGAAACTCCTCTCAATCCATCAAAGCAAGATTTTGACAATCACACTAACCAGCAAGAGCCGTTAATTGACACTCACTCCTGACCTAGTGTGATAAGCTGGAGAGAACCTACTGATTGTTTCCCCGTCTGCCTTATAACCTGGCCAATTTGATGACCTGCTCACTTGGCCTGATAAAGCTTTCATGTCAGAAGCGAAACGTGGCCCAATTAAAAACTACCGATTGTTTACCAAGTCATTCTGAAACGGACTGTAAGTTTTGTATTCAGTAGGCAGCAGTAGCAGATGTATAAGAGAAGTAGATGCTGTATTGAGAACTGTTTGTGTAAATAAATGGTTTGATAAATATCGTGAGTTAAACAAAACGTCCGATCAATAATAGCACATTCAGTAGGAACAGAAAAAGGGACAGTAGGACTTTCTGGGCTTTCAATAGCGAGGAAGCACCAAATGATACACAAACGTACAGATACAAGCTGTCAGACGGTGTAAATACAGGGATAACGGCACAGAAGACGGTCAGTAGGTTCGGAGGTAACAGAGACTGTCTGAAAAA